ATATTGTGCAACATGCTATTCTATATTGTCAGTTTTAGTTTCACTTTTGAGAGCTTTGATATTTCTTTCAACCGATTTCATATAATTTTCGACTGTTTTGATGCGCAAGATATTCCGAAGAGCTTTATTAAAATCGGTCCTGCAATTTGGGAACGCTTGCCCATGTCTGATATATAATTTAGGAGTCCGGCTGTATAGGCCCATTTGCAAAACTGAGTTAAAAAAAACAACGTACAGGAAGACCAGACGAAATTAATAACACTGCAGACTTCAGGCCATACGATAGAAAGGGGAGGGAACTCACTGCAAATTCAAGACTTAGAGTTTATCTTAGTTACCGCCCATAGTAAACTATTGACGATAGTGCCATGCGCTCAGCGACATCTAGCGTGTTTTTGCTCTCATTACTGAGAACTGTTGTCTTCATTGCCAGAGCCAACAAGCCATAGTTCCTGTATGCTAATAAACTTAATTATTTCGACGTTCATTGTATGTACACGAGTATATATACATGTAAGGTGAACCAAAATCTGGTGAGTGAATGAGTAAATGAATGAACGAGCGTTTGAATGAGTCAGCGAGTGAGTAAGTGAGAAAAAACAAATGATCTTACCTCATGTGGTAGACGAGGTCCGAAGTCATTCGAAAGGTGGCGTTGCATTTGGCGCACCAGTTCTGTGATAGGTTGAGAGCGTTGATGGGGGAGGAGAGGAGGGTGGGGTTGGTGCTCTGTAATAACTTCTCTACCATTGGGTTGGTGCTCTTGAGGAAACCAAGGCTGTGGGGAGGGCAATAACAAGACAATAAGACAGGGTGACTACATAATATGGTCGATTATATGCACAAGGGGGCTATCCCGAAAAATGCTGTTTTGAGAAAATGGAAGGTAGTTTTTGCCCCTTGTTCAGTTTTCTTTAAAACACAAGGAGAGTTTTCTCTATAACCAAACAAATGTACACGCCAATGAAACCTAACTTCTCCTACAGGTAGGGAAATGCCCACTTTTGGTGTAGGTCAAGATTTCTGGAAACTAGCGGAATCTGGGTTAACCTGCTTGTATTATTGTTTGAGTCGTAAGGATTGTAGCTATAATAGTGTTTAATGCCTTCATCAACACAATTTATATCATAATAAGATGAGATGAAATAAGAAAAGACAAGACAAGATACGATAAAGCAAGATAAGGCAAAATGAGATAAGGCAAGATAAGACAAGATGAGATAATACAAGATGGGACAAGATGAGATAAGATAAGGTAAGATAAGATAAGACACATCTTTATTGTCCAGGTGAGAGTCTGGCTTCTTCCACCCTGTTTGTCAGGACAAACCAAGGCTTAGTGGGATACAGTATCCAAGCACACAGATGAAGATGTATGTGAAGGAACGTGGTGGAATCAGGCTCTCGTCAAAATAACCAAAGTGAAGAAAGTTGCATTTTTCCGCAGGTTTGTGAATTTTTATCAAATTTTTGGTTTTTTTGGCTCAACACCTTTCATGTCCATTAAAGAACTCATTTCTGTGTGGATTTTTTTGAAAAACGTTGATTAAAGGCACAAAAAAAAAGTAAATTTTCCGTTACCACAGACTCTTAAGCTAAGGAAATGACTAATCTTTGGCGGCCATTTTCTCACTAATTTTACCTCTGAAAACAAGTGACCCCGACCTCCTTCTTGTATTCAAGATAAATGGATATTTTTTTTCATCCAAACACAAGACTAAAGAACACGCTTTAATATGACACCAATAACTCTACATGCCCAAAAATTGACGAGAGCCTGATTCCACCACGCTGCCTCACATATTATACTTCTTGAAAACTTCACCTCTCAGGAGTCGAAGATAGATAGATATATAGAAAGATAGAGAGAGAGAGAGAGAGAGAGAGAGAGAGAGAGAGAGACAGAGAGAGAGAGAGAGAGAGAGAGAGAGAGAGAGAGAGAGAGAGAGAGAGAGAGAGAGAGAGAGAGAGAGAGAGAGAGAGAGAAAGAGAGAGAGAGAGAAACAGAGAGAGAAAAAGAGAGAGAGACAGAGAGAGAGAGAGAGAGAGAGACAGAGAGAGAGAGAGACTAATGGAAAAATCAGCACAAAAGCCAGGTATTATGATCGTTAACAAACCATTACAGAGATGATCATAAACAGAAATACTACCATCATTGCAGGACAAATCGACTGCCATACAAACTACGGAGTACCAGCTGTGGTGGTAGACGTGGTTTTAACATCATAAATACAACAGAAGACTAGAAGACTACGGGCTGGTGATGTGCAACTCAAATCCTTACTGTGCATCACAGTGATGACATAAAAAGATGGAACCTTAATAGTAACCACTTATCCAGTATTTTAAACGTAAACCACAAAATCTTCAAATAATTGTTCACGTAAAAGAAGTAGGACGTGTCTAGGCGGGTCTGAATTTTCAGTTAGAAGGAAAATGTGACTTTCCCAACCCCCCCCCCCCAACCTCCCCGTTGTTTTCAAGTCTGTCGGATTGGATTACTGTTCTTCCTTGAGTAGCAAATTGGTGAATCGTAGACAACAGAGTGGATGCACTTGGAGCTTAAATTAGTAATTAACATGTGTATGGTTCAGATGGCCCTGGTGTGATTCATCTTGTGACACTCTTCTTGAAGTCCCATTCGCCATGGATGGCAATCAGAGCCCTTCTTCTTAAATTTTTAAAAATCGTGATAGGGAGAAAAAAAACTCATGCTTAAATTTTGCAGATCAAATATCCCCAACCTCCTTCCCTTCTCCTGATATAAATTTAGTATTCTCAGTTGTATGTTGGGGGGTGTAAGATTTGTGACCATTACCTTGAAATATGTCTGTCAGCAAACAGAGCTTGTTTGGCCAATGTCTCGTGAACGTTACTGTTTCTAATGTTGGCGACAAAGGACTCTGTCAGCGGCCCGACTGTGGGTATGGTAGCTCTACACATCTCCAGCAGGCCTGCGGGGATCTGGTCGGAGAAGGCGGAGTGAGGTAGTCGGACTCCCCCACCAAGGGAACTTCCCGCTCTCATCATACTACCACCGGGAATTCCCAAAGGCGCGGAAGCCGGTAACATGGGGAGTCTGGGCATGTAGAGCCCCATTATGGAGGCGTTGGCCATAGGGTAATCTGCCCGAGATGTGGGAAGTCCCGATGTCATTGACTTGATGGGTGCTCGAGGGGGTGGGGGAGGCATGGATGACGTAGACGGCTCGTCGCTGGGAGAAGCAGACAGTCTGGCGTTTGGAGAAGACTGTCGAGACTCGTGTACTGGAAGCGTGTGAGGTCCTGGGGTGGTAGAGGAGGTAGGGCTGGAAGCAACTGTCGGGCCAGGGGAAGGTGTTCGAAGACAGTGGTTGACCGGTTTGAGACCAGGCAGGCAGCTGTTTGGAGAGCCAAGCCGATGATCCATCGCCTCTGGGCTATGTGACCTTTCAACCTTTCTGAAAGCGCTGACATTGGCTGTGTGAGTGTCAAGGCCGTTCTCCCTTGTCGTCTGCTCAGGACTTTTGCTGACATAACTTTTGCTGAGCTCCTCTATGGAATGTGAAATAGCACTACTCTTTTTGACTCTGCTAAAGTTATCTTCTGTTTTCACCCTCTTTGCTTTAGAGTCAAACTCTGCATCAATAGAGTCACTGTGCTGTCTCTTCGACGAAATTTTAAACATAGTGTTATTGTTTGTTCTGTAACTTAGATTTGGCGGTTGTGAGTTTTCTGTTGATTCCTCCATTGAAAACGAATTCGGATTTACAATCAAGTTTTGCGGAGCGGGCAGTTGGATGGGCAGTTTGCTATGAGGATTGTTGTCTATGGTGAAAGAACATTTGTACTTGAGGTGGGCTCTGAGAGGATACGGGAAGTCAAACATTTCTCCGCAGTGGCTGCAGATGAACTGCTCGTCATCTGTTGAAATAGAGTAGAAGGAAACGTGTGACGTTACTGAGAAAGAGACTTTTTCTTTTACAGAAAACCATGAACAATTGTGTTTTTGACACACTTGGCATTATGTAAAACTATAGCTCACTATACCTAAAATATTTTCGTCCATTGATTTACGAATATTCAGTATAACGAACTTGAAACTTGAAACAGTTACAGAATGAGTATACTGATACAAGTAGAGAGAAGTATTGTGTTTTGAAGGATGTTTGAATCATCAGATAAGTTATTAGAATTACAGAAAGAATAGCTACTGTTACCAGTTTGCTGCTACTTTCTTAAAGACAGAACACGATGGTTCCCTTGGTTAACCAATCGTATTTCAAACTAAAATTTTGCTTTAAAGAAAAAAAAGTAATCAAACAAAATCAGAAGCAAAGAAAAAAACGTGAAATAAAGAAAATGTAACGAGATGATCTGAAGAGAAAACTTCTCCACCTCCCCCCCACTTCCGCTTTTCAAGAGCATCAGAGTTATTAAGCTGGAAAACCCGAATATAATGTTCTTTTTGCTTTCGCATCCCAACTCTTTTCTCTTAAATTCTACAAAAATATCAACTAAGCAAATTTGAAGAAAGTCACCAGAAAAAGATTTAAAAAAAAAGAATACCAACAAAAAAATGCTCATATCATTATAACAACACAAAAATCATAACAAAAACAAAACGCAGAGACAGAACACTACAAGACCCTTCCAACTAGAAAACAAAAACAACAATAACAACAACGACAGCAATCCTCCACCTAACCACCCTACACATGAAAAATCTCTCAAAACAACAACACAAGAAGAATGTCCTCCGAAACAAAACAGTCCCCCCCCCCGCTAAACCATACACACACACACACACACACACACACACACACACTCACACACACACATACACACACAAACAAACATACACACACACACACATACACACACACACACACACGCGCGCGCTCGCGCGAGCGCAAGCGCACCAAAAAACCCCCAACACAAACAAACAAAATACTCCTACCCCCTGAAAAACAACAACAACAAAAACAAACAATCCAACAACACAACGCAACAAAACAAAACAACAACAAATAACCAAAATAACAAAAACAAAAACAAATCACGAACAAGAACACAAGCCTGTCTGACCTCTCTTGCAGTTGGTCTGTAGTTCTGGGACGCCCAGTATCTGTGAGAAGTCCTTGCTGTACCACACCAGAAGCTCCTCGCCGGACTTGACGATGCGGAGGGTTCTGTCACGCAAAAGGGGGGGGGGGATGGT